ATTCCCCCCTCGTCGATATGAAGGTTTTGTCACGGAGAAATATGGCGCCGTCGACGGTTGAGTTCCGTCTTGTTTTTCGGCCTCAATCAGATAAATCGAGTCCATCGGGCTTAGTCGGCGAAGTGATCAACTTTTTACAGCGCAGCACGCGCTTGGTTTGGTTGATGGGGAGTGGGGGCTGCCCTTCCACGCTCCCCTTTGGTTCAACCACAACACATACGTACCGAAAACAAAATGTCCATAGCTCTAAGTAGAAAATCAAAAAGAGATAAAGTTTCAGAGGATTCAGGCATCACTTAACAGGGAGCGACGCTCAATAACTTTGTACGGGCAAGCGTTTCTACCGGAAGGTCTGATCAGAACCCAGACCGAAGCCGACGATTTGTTGGTTATTGAAATATTTAACTTCTCGGCTCACGCACGACGCGACACACGCGAAGCCCGAGGGACCAGCCATACACTGTGAAGAAACTGGATGAAAAAAAGCGCCAAGCGTGAAAGGAAACGACTGCACCAACCTTCTTTATTCGTCCCCGGCGCAAAAGAAGAAAAAAGAAACGCGTTTTCAGGCGTCCGGGTAGCGTTATTAATTCGAACTTAGCGCCGCGAGGTCGTCACGTGGCCGATTTGTCACGCGCTTAATGCTCGGTTGCCACCCGAACAAGTGTTATTTTCTGTTCGTATCTCGCACATCAACAGCGCAGAGTTACCCTTATTCAATGTGGTATAATGTACACGGTATTCTGGCACATTTTTTTTTCGAGCTGTTCCCGCGAAAGTCGCGGGCGGGCTGATTGTTTCAGCGCGATAAAGGTAGGCGATAAGGCGGAGTCACTTAGAGGCGCGCCGCGAGCGCTGAGCTCTGCGTCGATTTCGTTCCCGCGGAAACTTTTGAATGCTACGCGAGAGGCGCGGCTGGCGGCGGCGGCAGCGGAGCTCATCACCGCAAAAATCCACACGAGCCTCGGTTCAAAAAGTGAAAATAAAAAGAAAGCAAGCGAGGAGCGGGGAATGCGTGAGCCCGGTGAGATAAATAATAAGTGAAAATCGCGAAGGGGCGTCGTGCGCCCCCGAGCGCCCCCCGCGCAACAAGAGGAAATTCACGCGTCCGACAAAAGACGAGCGCCAAAGCGTCGCCGTCCGCTGAGTGCATAATTTGTTTTGTTTTGTTTCGCCAGCGGGGAGAGAGAGAGTAAGCCTATTGTGGGGGCGGGAAAGAGGGAGAGAGATGGGTGGAGGGGG